GCCCGCCGCGCCGGCGCCCGCCCTCCGCCCCTACGGCTACGCATCCAAGGCCCCGCCCGTGTTGGGCAGAGTCACCTTCACGCAGAGCTACCCCGATCCGGACGCAGAGGGCGGCACCCCCGGCCGGCCCGGCGTCGACTATCCCACGCTCGCCAGCATCCCGCCCACCACCTTCGACTGCAAGTCGCAGCGCTATAAGGGCTTCTTCGGAGACCCCGAGACGCACTGCCAGGTAACATTCTCATGCTCTACATCGGGCATTCAATCTATCAAAACTATACCCTCAATGTTTGCCTTTTTGTTTCTCTCCGTTAACTAAATGCGCTATCTTCATTCCTGCTACAGGTGTGGCACTACTGCGACCTGAACGGCGGGCAAGCGTCCTTTCTGTGCCCGAACGGCACCATCTTCAGCCAAGTGGCACTCACGTGCGACTGGTGGTTCAACGTGAGGTGCGCGTCCACGCCGCAGCTGTACGTGCTCAACGAGCGCCTCTACAAGTACATCCTGCCGGTGATGCCCAGCTTCCCGGAGGACTTCACGGGCCCGCTCGTCGACCAGTACCTCACGCTCAAGTTCCGCGAGCAGGAGCAGAAGAGCAAGGCCAAGGCAAAGGGCGCCAAAGCGCCCTCCTCCACGCCCAAGCCCACCACGGCCAAGCCGCAGCTGCCCCCGGCGCAGCCCACGCAAAACACGCTCCAGGACCTGGAGGACGACCGCTGACGCGCACCACGGCGCCGGCGGAGGAAAGGGACGGAGTCGAGCTCGGGGTGTGATGCGATTAAAATAGGCGTGCGGTTGGCGTTTGTCACATGCGTTTCCACAGACGCCAGTATTGGACTTCAAACTAGCGCGAAGGCAAATCGGATGAGCTCTGTCATTGGACGTTTTGTAGGAGAAGCAATCTCGCGCCCAATAATTTTAATCGGGGAATACACTATCTTATTAAAGTATCTAATCGACACTTCGAAGTCTACGTGTATTTCCGGGAAAACAACCAACCACAGGGCTCAAACAAGCAACTACTTCGTCTCTGGACCCTTGGGACTCGATCATCTTTCTTCGAGTTAATCGCATTTTAGCTACAGAGAATGAGGTGACAATTAAAAATTCCTTGCAAGCCTAAGGAGTTTATACTCACTATTTTATGAATAAAATACGTCTTCTATATCTTCTATACTTTGACATATCAGTTCTTAAGTGCCAATACTATTAAAGACTATGAATTGTTTGGTCATGTCTTGTGAAATGCCAAAGTCTGTTCAAATTCCTCACAGAGAAACCCTTGAAGACCTCTGGGACATCACAAGAATTTCCAAGATATTTAAACACCAAATTGCAAGATTGATAAAGAATTTCCTCCACATGAAAGAAGCATTAGCTTGCAAAAAAATGCCAATCAAAGCACTCAGATGCATGTAGTTGACCACTGTGGTTGGTTTCCATGGAAATGTTCTCACTGAAAAGTGTCAATCACACCACTTGCACACATTTTCTTGATATTTCAGATCTAGAGTCCAGTCACAAGTGATCCAATCCAGTTTGTCTTACTAAAAATGCAAAGTTCTTTAGGTAGGGCCAGACCCATACTCCCATTGATTCAACAACATTAATTGTGTTAAACCTAGGAACAAATTTTATTTTCGCATATAGATTGTATCAAAGTAGGAATCATCCGAGGAGAAAAACGGTTATAATATTCTATTTCCTGAATAGTCAAAAATTCACTAAAAAGGAAGCAAAAACTGTTTTCATCCATTTCAACCTCTACAATTTCAACTTATCATAATTTTAAAATGTCATATTACTTACATATATACAGGTAATTATGGTTATAATCATTAGTTATTATTTTCAAATATGAATCATTATTAGACACACTTTTTTGTTTAGTACAAATGTTCCCACATGAATGTTTATTACCAGTTGACATCATTGGATTTAGAAAAATTTTCCTCTCCCAAATCCACATTTTGCAAAATATCAAGAAAAAGTGTGTGACTGGAGCTTATTTTAATAAGACAAAATACAAGTGCACCCTGGTGAAAATCAGTCCGTGTGTGTTAAAAAAAACAATTTATTATTTGTAACTCTTAAAAGTTTTCATTAATTCTGACAGAAAGAGCAAATGCTACAGGTTGTGCAAGTATATCATCATCTCGAAACCAATCAATTGCCAAACTTAAAAAATATCCCAATTTGCTAAAGAGAAGACAAATGCTATCAAAGGATATACCTCAAGCATGCCGAAAACACATATCAGTTTTACTATACGTAATATCATTCCATTTACGCAAAGTGTTTAAATTTGTTGGTTTTCATCTACAGTTGGTCATTCTTAATTCACATTAACATCCAACCATGGGCAATGAGATATCAACATGCTTATAATAACGTTGCCATATTTTTTACTTTCGATTAATGTAAGTGAATTCACATACAACAGTCAAATGGTAATACATGAACTCAAACACATGACAATAGTTACATAAATCCACAAATTCTGCTCTTAATAGATAAAGAAGAGTGTCTCTGGGACAAAGCTTCAAATGAATATCTGTTTGGCGTTCAACACATTTTGACAGTTTTGTCAAAAATAGATCTGCAAAACAATGATTTCATAACTTGTGTTATATTCTTGGTTTGCTGGTTCATGAATTACCATGTATTATGTATATAGAAATTAACTTCTGTGTGCTGCAGATACCTAAGTGAATCTTTCAATTCAAATCTTTCAGGGACCTTATATGCAATCAGAAAGAAACCAACAACTGTTGCCAAAACACAACAACACCTCAGAAGTTCACATGCTTCTAAGATTCCACAATGTTCAGCAATATGAAAAAAATTGTAGGGCAAAAAAAATGACAAAACTGGAACGTCAAAAAAACTAAACATAATTTTAAGAAATTGCAATAGTCATCAGTAAATATGTCCAAACTCAATAGGAGAACTAATATGTACTTCTATCTACACAACAGATTTATCACTCTTAATAGTAAAAATAAGAAATGTTTACAGCAAGTGATAGCACCCCACTGAAACAACTATTCGAAATTTTGTAATTATATGTTACGGAAAAAACAGAATTTTATAAATCCCATTGCTGAATGTACATTATTTAATTCACTGTCAGACAATATCAAATGTTCACAGTACTTTATACTACTTAAAATTTCATAACATTTTCATTTACCATTTATCTATCTCAGTTGAAAGAAGAAAAATATTCATTCATTGATTCTTCATACAATTTCAATTTTTGTTCATCTCATTCATAATGTAGATACAGATGTTAAGTTGTTAATAGATTGTAAGCAACCATCATCATTCATGCCAATTGTATGTTAAGTATCTGTAAGACTTCATTGAATAGGATCATTGTTGACTTACTACATCTAGAAAAGTAGAAGTAGTTTTTGTACAGCAAGACTTTGTATGATGACAAGACATCACATTTCATTCTATGGTCATGGTGTAAACCTCACATAATTCGTAACTGGAAATGGATAAAAACTTCCTACTATTTTTAACGCTGTAACAGCAAGTAAAATTTCACTTTCAGCTTGGCAAATTGTGAAGAACTGACCTGACACTTCTAACTGAACTGGTCTGAACAAGTTCCAAAGAACATTTTTGTTCTTAGACCATTCCCTCCCCAACCATTTAAAATGTGTTTTTCAGATCTTCAAAACTATATAACTTTGCCATGGTGAAAGGAAAATCCAACTGCTGTCAAAAACATCCTGTGATGGCATTATTTCATCTCTAGTCACAGTATGTGCAATATGCCATGGTTTGTTGAAACTTTGGTTATCACTTGATTAACCTAATTTATACGCATTTTGTATCTAAGTTTCATAATAAAAACACAAGCAATTTGATGACTTGAATTTCCTGTCAACAAGAAATGTATGCCCGATTATTGTACCAAAACACTTCTCCTCAATTAATACATCATCACACATTACTTCTTCGTACTTCAACAAGCTCACAATCATGAAATTTTGCACATCTACCATAAAATGAATTAAACAAGAATTTTACGAATTGCTGAACAGCTTCCTCATTTATTGACTGCCACTTCCTTTTATCTACTTGTCCAAACTTTATTTGTTATCTCCTTTTACATATGACGTTCCAGGAAAATGAAAATCCCTTTTATCACCAACGTACCAATCTAAATTTTAAATAATTCACTACTTATCCATATCAAGACCCCAAAGCTTGTTGATCAAAAATACCAGTGAAGAATTTATTGAAAATAATAAAACTGAATATTTTTTTAATACGTTTTCAACTTGCTATTCATATGAACATATTCACAAACAATTGTGGATATTTGAATATATTCACAATTTAATTAAGAAAACAATCCAGCATTATGAAGGTCAATAAAGTCTAAGTTCCTCTTATTTATTGATACAAATGTAAAAAATTGAATGCTTCATAAAATGTAATTAAAACATACTCATAAAAAACAATAATTCACGAAAAAATATCATTCACAAAAGGAAAAAGAAAATAGCATTTGTTCATTCTCTTTCAAGAAATATATCTTCTTCACACTATTTACATAACAATGCAAGCAAAACGAAAACGGCATACATGAAATAATTCCCTTCGAAATTCAACTTTCACAACTGCAAATGGAACAGAAAGTTAAATCCCCAAATAACATATTTAATTGTATTATCTTGCAAAAAGATAATGAGAAATTAAATCCTATAAGATCTTCTACCATTTGGTAAAAAATTCATTCACAGGCTAAGTAGAACGGGTTCTTATTAAATTTCTAATAAGATATTGCCATTAATATAAAAATCCCCAAAACATTTTAAAACTAATAGAGAATACAAAAAGCCTACTACTATTACACATATAGTAATGCAGAAATTTAACAAAACTGACAAACATTTCCAGATGAGCATAGTTCAGTACAAGCACTGTCGTTCTCCACCAATTCCAAGGAATAACATACTTATATTAATCCACATGTTGATTTCTTATTAAGCAATACTTGATTTCCTACCTGCTGGCTTTTGGCGATTTCGGCCAGAACAGCAGACGCAACCATCACAGCAGCATGAACGTTGTCAACTTGTTCTTCATTCTGCTCATAAAATGACAATCAAATTACTAAATTACACACTTATAAGAGATTTGATCTCAAATTGAAAAGTTTATAATACACTTACCATTTGTGCTCGAGTGATGACTGAGTGACCACTATGACAGCCAATTGCACAGCAGGGGCATATGATCTCATTGCAATCATTACAATAAAAGTCCTTCTTCTGATCACTGTGTTCTTCACATGAAGGACTGGCTTGAGAACGTATTGGAGCTCGCACATGGTTTTTTAGTGAACGTGCAGCAGCATGAACCTGCCAACATTGTAAATGGTTATGGGTTTTTCTTTTAAAAAGAAAATCACAGTAACTCCAGCCTTCTTACTCCTAGACAATCTTTAATAAATGTATTAAAATAAACAAGACGAGTGTTGCAAAAAGATTGTCAGGTAGAAACATTTATTTCCCTGTAGACCATGACTTTCCATTCTATGCAGCATTCATGGAACGTGCTTTGACATGAAACTGCTCTGCATCTACTATTCAACTTATTTTGCTTGTGCAGAGCTTGTGACAAGTTTACCACACACACATACCATGTTATTTAAAGTATATTTTTATAAGGGAGTAATTTTTCTTTCCAATTATAGTCATTATTTTCTTTAAAATTTAACGTGATTAATTTTTTTTTTTTTTATATCCTGAAGGATAGTACAACACATGCACATTACTGCTAAACGAAATATTTCGCTGTGTCTGACATATTTTTGTTGTTTCTTCCTCAAATTTCACAATTATATTATATTCACAGTCATTTATTCAGAGCAGTCTTTATGCTGTTTATAATCTGAAATTTTACCACAAGATGGTTGATTTGCATATAAATTCAAAATATGCATGAATTTAAATTGTGTTATATTTGTACCAAAAAATTAAAAAGCAAAATATGCACATAATGAAGTGAGCTGTATTATCAATAAATTACTTGAAAAATATCTATTTACCCGAAAATATAATGGTTGTTTGGCCAAAATAAGGGATCTTCTTTCACAGGAAGGGGGGAGTATTCTTGCAATCCTCTGTGGATTTGCAGAGCTTCAAACTAATATTTTTAAACAGGTAAGTAAAATGATTAACGAATACCAAAAATTCCTAAGTGAAACACATCATTATATTAATATTCATCATAATCACAATTTCGTTACATGATGGCTGCAAAGACTCTCGATCTGATGCCCAGCAAGTGCAAACATGCGTTTTAATCGAAATGATAACTTGCACCTTGATAAAAGAACACATTCTACATCTGAACGTACAGATTGACAAAAAACTATATTTATTAACAAAAAATTTACAACTGTTGGAAACTATGCCTCCCACAGGGGCAGATCCAGTGACTAATTGGGAGGGGGGCGGGGGATCTTTTTATTCAAAATGTTTTGGTTGAATGTATATTACAGATTATGCAGAAAGACGCAGGCTAAATTCCGCTCATATTGCAATACAGTTTTATAAGTTTTAATGTATTTGAAAATATTTTGCTTGAAATTTTTGTGACCACTTAAAATTAATAGTAACTGAAAACTTTTGGGAGGGGAAATTTCCCTCATCCCCCCTTCCCCTACGTCCAAGCCCGCTCCCTCAGGAAGCAGAAGCATGGAACTGTACAAGCTTGCAAGGACATAGCTCTTATTACATTAGCATTCAGATATCAATTTGAAGTTCATGGTTGTACAAGATGCAGAGGAAAAGAACATGGACGCGACGAGAGAAAAATCTGGTGACACAGAAGGGAAAGTTCTACAACTGTCATCAGATGAAAAACAAAGAATGCAAATTCAAAGCGCACAATTTTTTTGAATTCTTTTCATGTTTTTCAAATTTTTGAATGTTTTTAATATCATTATTAACAACAAAAAATTACAGAATGCTTCTTTAAATGCAGGGAGGGGGCACTTGCAGAATGTCTGGCTAAATACAGCCTATATTATTAAAACCTCTCTCCTGCACTACTTCATTGTCCAGAGGTACCAAACATGCATTTCTCAATGCAGTTTCATAATAAAAATATACTATTGTTTTTTTCTCAGAAACTACTGCAAGGAAGTTTTGGGACTACTGAAGCTTTTTTAAGCCCAATGTTCAGATATGGTCAACAAATCAATTTTAAATTAAAAACGTATAAATAAACAAATTATAAATTCAATTTTAATGCACACGAATTGAATGTTAAGAGGTTACTAATACAGTCTAAAAACATTGATATTGAAAAACATGGATGGTTTTTAGTCGATCTATTTTTAACATCGATGTTTTAATTATTAACATCTGTGTTTGCTAACATTGATGTTTTGTCATCGAAGTCGCATCACTAGTTGTCAGTGGTTTACCCTTGAAAACATTTCTAAAACAATACCTACTGTAAATACTGCATTTGCAATGCTATCAAATAAATTTACAATTATCTTATTTTCTCAACATCTCTATACTTTGAATTAACTTAATTGCTGTGCATGTAACTTAGTAGTAAACAGATCGTTATATCGTAGCTGATCATTAATCTCTGGATACAGCAGCTATTAGCTTTTTTAATAAGTCTGAGTGGATAATTTGTGGTCATTTATCAATTTAAATTTCTGCCTCTTCTCAGCGCCTCACATAAGAAAAAATTACGCACTACAAACTTCATAATTCCCTTTTTGTAGTCTAAAACATACTCTCTAACATAAAGCATATATTTTGATTGCAATGAAAAAATAATGCAAATATGGTAAATTCCACCCTCTATTCATCACATTCTTCTTATATATCCTCTTTAATATTCCACCTCGTACAAAGGTAGGGAGATTGACTGAGGTACTAACACCAACGCATTTGTATGACACCATAAGGTCATTACACCATAATCTGTTTCTAAAAAACGCCATGGCAGAAAAGGCAAAATTATACTACAAGACAAAAAGATACACAGAGATAATAGTATTCTTTGCTTATAACAGGATTTTTTCCTCAAAAACAAAATTGTAATATTTACTCACATCAAATTTGAGAAACACACAATATCAATTACCCAACTACATCATGTCCCCAGTCAGTATCAGAGTGACAATGGCCCTATTGGTTTCAGATGTCAGATTCTTGGTTATTGACGGAGAAAAAATTTGTCAAGTAACACATTTCCCATACAGTAGTTAGAAGCAGCAACATTTTATGCCAATTAGCATCTGCACAAGCAATATAGGGTTTCAATAGCCACCTTATGGTAGTGTTGAAAACTTTCAACAACTACCACCTAACCAACAGTTCCTCTTCCTCTCAATCTTGTTTTACGAAATATTATATTTTATGTAATGTTAATGAAATTTTGAATTGTTGAAGTTGCTTATAAAAAAAATAAAATATTTTACCTTAGCAAAGCAAGGAGTACAGTAATTGGCAGGGCAATTTTCACATGACCATTCAGCATTTTGTGGACACTCATCACAGGGAAGTACTTGAGCTGTAAGCATATATTAATGTTTTAATTACAATTCATATCAGTTCTTTTTTCATCAAAAAACAATTATACCAAATGTCACAGCACAAAACTTTAAACAATCGTTTTAAACCTCCAATTATGATAATTTCTAATTGCACCATAAAGGATTATCACACTAATGTATACTAATGAAATCATTTAAATATATTTATGACAGCATTTCCAGCAAAATTTCAAATACATTTGTAAAATTTATTACGCCCCCACTGCCAACACAAATCTCACACGTCCCTCAAAACAGTTTTCATTAAATTACTATCATAATGAAAGTCATTTAACATTTCAACAGAATATGTAATAAATAACAATTAAGCAACAGAAAATTTAATTCAGTAGAAATGAAAATATCTTCATGAGTAGACATCAAAAGCAAGACATAACATCTAAAACCTGGCATAGAAAAATCCTAGAAGCACCACTGCTATTAAGAATTGCAGTTAGGCATTACTTCAACACTAACATTTTTAGAAAATTCTATAATTAGTGAGGCTAACCTGTAATTGCCCATGTTACCTTCACCCTGCTTGCACACCCCATGACAAACAAGTCATTAAATTGGTCAAAGATGAAACTGAAATATGATCAGGATTTTAGCTATTTAATGATCTATAAGACACAAAAAATTAAAATTGCCGAAGTACATTTATCATTCAAAATCTATTCATGTTGACTGAGACTAACGCCTAATTATTTTCTAGATTTCTTTGCAATTTTATAAAAACACAAGTTCATAGGTGTGCATGTAGGCAGGCTACATTACCCTGGAAACTTTTGAAAGCAGTTCTAGCTTAATACATCTTACTTTCAGTAACAGCCAAGGAGTTTACATCAGTTCCCAAAAACTTAATGAACTTGTTACACTGGGCACATTTTGGTAAAGTGAAATTTCAAATTTGTTACAAAATCATATTAAACAAATTGTACAAACATTTTAGAATGAAATGAAAACTTCATTGTCCAAAAACGATGAAAAATTTGGAAATTACAATGTGTCCCTAGAGTATAATTGAAAAATTCAGAACAAAAACATTAATAAACTTCAAACTCTATCCCTTCTATGATCCCAAAAATCTGTTCCTAACATTTTTCAGTCAGTTACCAATGTTTATTTCTATACAACAGTAATTGCATACATGTAGATGATTCAATATAAAAGCCACTTTGCAAGGATGTGAGAACTATTAATCCAATTCATAATGGTCTTGCAATTGTTCTGCCTGTTGTTTTTTAACAACTGTCCCAATCACCTTGTTACTAAGCACCATGACCCAAATGACCTGACAAAAGAACAAACAACTATGCCCTTAACAGTGGCCAATTGAGGCGTTTCCCCCCTCCCCCCACAGAAACAACAAAATCAGACAAAAACAGTTAAAAATGTGAACAAATGTACAAAAGCACCCTGGAAAATCCATCCAAGTCAGAGTCAAGTCCCACAATCACCCAAAAATACATTTACAAAAATTCAAGTATTGCTACAAATTTGCTCCTACTAGTTGGTTTTCTAATTTCATTAGTATGGGCTAGCTTCTTGGCTCTCCCCACCTTCTTCCCATTTGCCTAAAGTGCCTAAAAGACCTTTTTCCATGTTTCCTCAATTTTTCAATCCTATAATAGCGGAATTCTAATAGTATGACAAAGAATATGATAGAGTATAATCTGGTCCAAAAAGCAAACTATCATTCAAAATTATGGAGGCATATTTGGAAAAAGGCCTTTTGAGAATTTCTGAAAATACCCAATTATATGCTCCTTATCACAGAAAAAATTGTTTTCAAGAATTCTCAAAAGAATTTTTTAGAAGCATTTACAAAAGCAATAACGTAATATTCGCTGACACATAACACTACACTCACAAATGCAATATTTAAAAAATACTCCTAATGTAAATATCAACAACACAAGTTGTATCCCAATAAAAATACATTTGTATAACTTTTGAAACATCAAAAGAGTATTTCTGCAATGTTATTCAGTTTATTTAGCACTATCCATTTAAAAAGTTTGAAGAAAAAAAATTGGAGCTGTTGTTGAGAATATCTTGATTTAAAATTGCCTAAATATTTCACTCAAAATTAAGCAAAGATTACTAATATTTTCAAAAAATCTGCATAACATTGGTTAAAGAACTAATTGTGGAGAACATACTTTATTTGAAAGAAAATCGATCTGCAATAATATAGTAGTACAAGGGGAAGGGGTATATTTTACTATACTACATTTTACACTGCAACTAATAAATTATCAATAAACAAGTAAAAAATACTACAAAACTTACAAAAAAAAATTTAAAAAAGGGAGGGGGGTGCATCTAAACAATTACGTCTAAAAATAATGTACAAAGGATAGCCTCAAATCCAAATCAACAGTCAACTATAATTTAATATTAATATAGTTAAGTTTACATTCATTAATAGATTTTAATAACTTTATTATCTTCCCCACACTACTATTGATGTTTAGGTTTATCTCTACACAAACAACCTAATAACTTCAAAATCTTAAAACTTTCTAAGCGGAAAATATAAATTAACTGAAACTGAAAACCCTGAACACTTGCAAATATACTCTCATTTACTAAAGTATTAAATATTGCACTTCAAAATGCATATTTGTAAAATTTCAGTCTAAAGAAATGGCTTTCTTAATGATAACAAAAACTTGAATGACCAATATTTCAGAATAACACAAGAGTAGAAAAATAGGAGAAAGTGTTCTAGACCCACAAAACATGGTTCAGTAGAACATTTTAAACTAAAAAAAAAATTAAAAAACCAAAGGAAATCATAAGTTTTCTGTTCAAATTCAGAACAAACTAGTTTAATAGCAGAAATAAAATAGTTTATTGTTGCATACTATAGTTGCTTACCTCCAAGAACATTCACAGAAACATTGCTGACTGTCCTTGACAATGAGCTAGGGCTTGTCGGAGGAACAAAAGTAATCTTGCTATCTTGGGGCATTCTGGACCGATGTCTTTCCATGAATTGTCCAAGAACATACAGGTGAATTGGAAATTCCTTATTCAAATTTTTCATGCCCATTTTTTGCAGTGATTGTTTTGCACATTTTGTACATGCTACACTAGCATCAATCTGGAGAGATGTGGTCAGGCAGTGTTCACATATAGCATGTCCACAGTGTAAAATATGTGGACAGCGATTTCCCCGTGGACTAAGGGGATCTGTGTAGAAAAATAATTTATAACAAAGCTTTGCAAACCAAACACGCTATACAACTATACTGTGTAGGAGTTATATATTTTTGCACAAATATACATAACAAAGTCATTAAAAATACTCTGAATTAACGAATCTACTTCAATGTATTGCCGTATTTTAAATCAATGTAAATAAAAATTTAAGAACAACTGCACATTACACAAACTTGAATGAAAGAATACAAGCCTGTTAATGTTCTAGTTTATTTATATAATTTATACTCATTTTCTGAAGTCACAATTAAAATTTTGAAACCTTACCTCGAACACAGAAGACATGATCACATCGAATACACGATGTAATTTTATTTTTCGATGACATCATTCTTGCCACTGGTAAGCAAAGTGATCCAACTTCAAGTGATCAAATGCAGTTTCTAGAAGGGGATTCCCTTCATTGCGATAGTTTTTACCAGCCAACTGTCAATTTAAAAAGATGGCACAACTAAAATTAACACCGGCTCAAATAAATTAAATAAATAACATATAGCAATGAATGCTATTCGTGAACTACGGTTATAATAAAATAGGAAGTGATAAATAATACAAGCGCGACAAAATCGTACAAGATCAAGAAATACTCTTCTATACAATAAATTCTCAAACGCAGAGACAAAAACACACAACTTCTCCAAGTCGAATCCACTGCGCAGTCACTGTGAAGCACATACGGGGGAACTATGAAGTCCCAGAGTGCATCACTATTGGCTGACAAATGAAGCTCTGATGATAACCAACATTACTAAGTAAAGATTAAACCGCCAATCTTTCATGTACCACTGAAAAGAACTGTAATTTTAAAAAACATAATTGACAAGAAAGTTAAGTAAAAAATCAGTCAGTTTTCACTTTATACTTATTAAGAAATAAGATGAAACACATACCACGAACTATTAAATGTAGCGTATCACTAATACATTTTTTAGTAGGCGTAAATCAGAACCTGATATATACTCTCTGATCAGAACTTAAATGGAGCCAAAATTGATAGTTCCACGCTCCGCTCCCCCCCCCCCAAATAAATTTATTATCTTGTCAGTTTTTGGTTGTTTGTTTTCAACAAAAAATAGAATTCATATTTTCATTAGATAAATTATGGACAAATCATCTCACGCATTTACCTTTACTCATCGCATTTAAAAGATGAACTACTACTTTCATATTCCCGCACTAAATTTGAAAAGAAATTAAATTTGACTTTTATTTCATTAAATCAACAATTATACACATAATGACAATATCGTAAATATAGTACATAATTATTCTTTATTCGTTTTCAAATAGGAACATTGAGAAGAAGAGTCGATTAATACCCAGAAGCTCCCAAATTGATGTACCGTGAGTGTGGTGGAGAAATGAATTCTATAAATGATAATCGTTAAACCGTCAGTGACAATGCCGATAGCAGAGTGAACTGGGTAAATGGTGGGCAGTGGTAGTACTCCTTATGACGTTGTCTTCATAACTGTAGAAAGATAGAAAAGTAGCAGCATGATTATTCCTCCATGATGATCGTTATTCTTAGTCACTAAACGACAGCAGCGCCCAATAAACAAAATACAACTAAACCGTATCCAAAAATGAAACGTTGAGGTGTTTAGGCACAAGGAAGTGCATTTTTATCAAATTTTGAGTTAGGAGTAGGAATGTAAAGTAAAAACTTCATTTTATTTCTTGAACAAGTGGTATTTCAATAGCATGAATAGCTCAAACAGTTTCCACTTCTAGTGGTGGGAAGAAAGTGCCTTCCATTGCGTTTTCTAAAGTCACTCAACTTTGAACTTAATTTTCTCAATACCATATTTAGGCCACTTATGTCCTTTGCGCTCTATACCCCCAATTAAATAACCGTTTTCTGGAATAGGCTCTTGTGGATTTCCCAGCATCGTGGGCGCTGCTGGGTAACTAGTCTGAAGCTACGAAACAGAGCTGAGCTAGAAAATACAACTTTAATTTTAGGTTCTAGAGAAAAATTATTTCTGCCTTTTTATTATACAATTCATAATTATACAACGTAAAATAGCATGAACTCTTAGGGGGATACTAATGAACACGGACACTAAATAACATCATAAAAATACGACACCCTAAACAAAATTTAAAGCTAATTTTAGGCTCTAGGGAAAAAAATAATATTGGCTTTTATTTTCGAAAATTATTCGAAAGATAATAATGATGATCAAAAGTACTGTTTATTTGTTGATATCAATTTTGAATAATTATGGGTTTATAAATAATTTCAAGTTGGCTTATGAGACGAATTTATACACTCGTGTTTGTGATATTTGCAACACCTAGAAGGTATGGTCGGAATCACTTAAAAATCGGTGGATGTAGACAGTGTATCCATAAGAAGAGATTAAATTTGCATAGAGGTGTCACGTTGGCCTAGCAGCGCCCTCCTTTCTGTGACAGCCACAGTCGGTGTAGGACAGGCCTGCACAGATTTTGTACTTTGACAGACCTCGGGAGCCGCGCGCGAACAACTTAAGTGCAAACTCGCGCCGCGTGGATGGGCGGGGTTAAGACTCAATCTAAGAGTAGGAACCGCCAATGAGAATTAACAATTCGAATCGTAGCGCTTTAATTGAAAAAGCATTAGCGAGAATTACGGACTATCACATAAAGTTCAAGTATCATTACCTTTTATTTTGGATATGTATGTTGTCGATGTACGACAATGTGAACTTAAAACGAATTAGGCATACATGTTTTATTTGGATACCAGTGTTGTAATTGCTAGTGAGGCTGATAATGTAATTTGTTTTGCTACGATGTAATCGCAATTTTAACATGCTGCTAAACACAAAATTATAATATTGAATCTTTTTTGTTGGACGATGACAGTAATAAATTATTTTTTCATTAACTAATTTTAATTCATTAAGACGATTCTATGAAAGTTAAAAAAATCGTATTCTTAAAAAATCATGATTACTTTATACACTAATTTCCGTCAAGAACACATTATATATTTCTAAATTCAATCCAATGAACACTATTCATAATCAGTAGCGTAAGAAAATGAATGCGGGTCCGCCCGCAACTCTTTTATCCAGGCCTCCTTTATAAAAGTGTGTACCTATCATAAGTAGAGTTAGTACATTAAATAATGAAAATATCATCTTCGATTCAGTTATCTTTTTTCTCCCATTTATAGCCGAAGACCGCATTTTGAAGCCAAGAGTTGGAAGAAGTCTTCGGGTAAATTGAAAATTTGTAAACCTTTTACAAAGTCAAGAATACTTTTTTGTAAGCTGAAGTTCATCGTATTCTCCCGTCGTAACCACAACTTTTGTTCGTGTTTTCGTTGAATTTTTTGTGACAAAAGGAATGGAAAAAGTATTGGAAGAACTAGCAAACGTGAATAGTGAACGTGTTTGAGGTGGATGCCAGGTAAGCTGCGGATGTGAGGTAAGCTGCCAGATCAACCACTTACCAACAATAGCTTCTCGAAGGACCAGTATGTTTTAGTAGCGAACGTACACGCTGTGGATTTCTGAAATAAAGTGCATAATATTCCAGAAAAGGTGCTATCATTCGAGGTAATTCAGAAGACATCACTTAATTTGATGCCATACCAAACAATGCATTGCTCATTATCACATCTGGCAGGACAAATTAGCGAGAAACATCATTATGCGTGCTATGAAAAATGCGAGTCACATAGTGTACTGCTAGTAGCTCGTACGAAATTTGAATGTTTATAAGCTTCTAGGTTCTCTAGCTACTTCAGGTTCTCGTAGAGCACATTGAATAGGTAAAGAACATAATTTAACAAATCTTACAGAGAATAAAGATACGGTTGAGTGAGAGCAATGTACGTGACGTACGTCTCGTACGAATATTAGAGCTCGACTCGCTGCGATTCGTTAGGTCGCTGGTTAGGCGAAGTATCGTTTACCGGCAGAGCGATGTGCAACAAATGATAATTGATCTCAATGCTTTAAGGATTTTTAAGGAATTAAAGAATTTTATGTGGTGCTTAGATAATAATTCAAACAAGTTATATAATTATTTTGCAAATTGAAATTTAGGAATTTTGACTAGCGTTATGAAACTAACTTATTAAGTTAACTGCATGTTGAGATAATTCCGCGAAGCGTGGTGATATCGCTGATTGATGAGCTGTTGCTATCTGTCTATACAGGTTCTGAGAATTCGCGTGCAGGACGTGTGGAAACAGAAAATACAGAATACAGTACAACTGGAATACAATACTATAAATTATACTTTTACGATACGTAATTACCGTTCTATGGCAAGGCGTGCATTTTAGGGTATGCATAATACTGTAGCGTCGTGTCGCGCTAAAACACGGTGATAAGCACGTAGCAGCCGGCGGGCATCGCCAGATGTTTAACAAAGGGCGGAGCGGTGACGCATTGGGAATTTCCGTGGGCGTGGCATGGTAGGGTGGAGGCAATAGGGGCGGCAGGGAGCGCCGAAGGGCCTATATAAGGCCACGAGAACAATGCCCCGATCTTCTTGTTTCCCAGCAGCGTGGGTGGCAGGTGGTGCGTGAATTTGTGCGAGTAGGTGCACGAAGGCAAGGGGCCGGCAATTCATTGTCGTGACCAGCGAGAAATGTAGATGGTTTCAGGGTGGAGCGGTGCTCCGCACAGGGAACATTGATCGTATGTTGCGGTGTGATAGCCGATCGGTAAATTGTCTCTCCTAGCAGTGGGTTCTATTTATTTAGTTAATTGTAAGCAGTGCAATTGTTTAATTGTGACTACGGTCTAGATAGTGAATAAATCTATTGTTTTTACAAACCACTCTCGTCTATGTTCTGATTACACTCGTATGACCTCACAATACGTTTATAAATAATACATTAGATTTGAGGTTGCTGGAAGTTTGAAGTGGAGAAATTGGGAATATGAAAGAAGTCTTAAATATATTAGATTACTTTATCTATTTACAAATATATACACTGAAATACATGTGGTTACAATTTGTACACATCAAACACACGTTAATAACAACATATTACATTCACCTTCCTTTAACGATTTAAGACCAACTAAAGGATGATCACCTCGTAAAATTATCTCAGTTTTATTGTTTAGTCTGGCGGTTGTGAATGGGAACAGATGAGGTAATTGAACATCTTCATTCGGTGATTGATGTTTTATGACTGTGAAATTGGACATCTTCGTGAAACCGATGGTCTTGCACAAGTCACTGAAGTGTTCTTCTTCGCCTTCTGCAGCACAATACGAGTGCCATGATCCATACGAACGTCTTCTCACTTCTCGAGTTGTCCTGTATACAGAAAATACTGTAGTGAAACACAAAAAGATGTCAACCCTTACCTATAACAATTCGCTACTTGACAATAACATGGAAGGCGCGTCAGGGTTGAGGGAAGTAAGGGTACATGTAGAAGATATGAAATGTTATTTTTTGATGACTCACTCAAATGTTTTTCATGCCAGTACAACTGTCAATAAAAACTGTCTGCAAAGAACAGAGACGAAAGGATACGATAATCAGTTCAAGACCTTTACCTGTATGCAGGACACAGGTTAAACAAACACTATTTAAATAACTATCAATTTATAGATCCATCACGGTAAAAAAACAAAAGACTTAATACAAAGGTAATACACCAAGTGAATGCGCTAGCTAACAACATAAAAAAAAACAAAAACTACTACTATGCCTCGTTAATAATTACTAAATATAGGAAATATAGGCAAATGCCGTTTTTTTGCTTTGACGTAACATTGTAAATTAATTATAATTAATTTTAAACATTTCCGTGACTTTACGAAATTATTATTAATACTATTAAAATTACATAAAAGTGTCTGCATTAGCATTGGAGTTCAAAAATTCTTTTTCGCCAATTAATACAGTCCTTTAATAATTTTAAAAATTATTTTGTATATTTACAAGCTTCTTTCGTAATCGAATAATCTTAAAGAGAGAAAATGCGAATATTTATGTGGTTGACACATCATCGAAAATTTCTTCTGAGTTTCTTGTAGCTAGCGATTGTATTAAATTAACATGCAGTTTCCTCGTTTAGGTTTACTTCTTGCAAATAATTTTGGGTCGGGCATTTACGTTAACTTCAACTTAAGGGACTACAACATTTGATCAACCATTGCAACAATTTATAACTTCCAGCCCTCTCAATCTGCGGGTTTAATGTGAGTAGACCCGAAAACTGAGTACTATGATGTATAAAATTAAATCCGCTTTTTTTGACAGTGGATAATTAAAATATTTTCAACGTACAATTATGTAATTTTGTGCTCCAACCAGGTAAACAGGAATGTAAACAAGAGCTTCATATAACTTCAGCAATATGGAGAATTGTCAGAACACTGAGCGGTGGTACGTACCACCTACTCTTCACAATACTTCCAGATTTCATGTGATTAAAAGTGTCATTTATACGCCTGGCCACAAAAATATCAATAAAACAGATTGACGTACAGAAAAATTAATTCTAAAAAGTAATTTTCATACCAATTTATATTGCATACATAAGAAATTAAAAAGTTTATTTTCATGTATTACGACCCTATTTGAAAGCGTAAAATGGTAAGTTTTAGAGACTAAATATTCGATGTTTACTCGTCAGGACTTAGATAGTAATATTTTGTACCGTCAATTAAAAGATTATCAAAATTAAAATCGAATGTGTAATTAGTTTTATTTTTATATTGTTATAAACAGATCACGACAAATTCGGTTTACAAAATTCACAATAATAAATCAATTTTTTTTTTTTTCGGAGTCGCCGAATACGTACAAACATATTTGTTTGAACATGGACCGCCAAATTAATTCAAATTTGGCGCCACGCTTCGAAGATCAAAGTTTCTCTACTCTTTGAAGGCATTTAAGAAGACAAAATCATACATTTCAAACTTCCCGCCTTCGAATCTAATTTCGGGCAAACACCACGCGAATTCTTTCCCAATTGACAAAAACAATCAGTTTTTGTATAAAGCTCTTTGAAATCGATTTTCAACTGCTTCGGAAAATCACTAATAGGTTGTACCACCTCCTAGGCGGCCGCGACGAAAGATTTACACAATTTCAGATTCCTTGGAATCCAATATTTTCACATCAGACGCGACAAGCTCTCATTGTTTGAAAATCAGAGGACTCGCGACCATTTCTGCAGCAATCGTACCGTGAAGCTATGCAATACGCGTATGGCGCGCATTGAAAGTTGGTGGTACGTTGGCAGCAAGCAATTGTGTAATTTCTTTCCACCAACGCTCTGAGATGTGGAGCGAAAAAGAAGAAAGCATGCTTGACGTGAAATTAGCAATTATATATTACTCTACCTACATTTTCAAACTTCATCGCCAAAAAATGAACATTTATGTAATTAATAATTAAACGAACAAAATTTGGAAGGTTATTCATTCTCAACATTTATGCCAGTACCGATAATTGTTTGTTCTTATTGCTTTATGTATTTGCAACTATATATGTACAGAATACTGTAAGGAAATTTTTGTCAAATCCAAACTCAAAGTAACGGCACATTCTCGAACAGGTTTACGGATGGTATATTCTGCATTCGAACTATAGAGAAAGGTATGCAATGTTGCAGAAAATCTATCTCCGTATTTGAATGGGAATACACGTTTTCGATAGTTTTTTCTAAAAAACGGCGCCAGCACCGATTTCTTATCATCAGTTGCTACATCCGAGGAAAAATAAAAGAAGTAAGTTGCTGGCGTGTTTTGGAAAATAACTGTTTTAAAATTGCCTTATTACAAGCAAAATACTCAAATATTGTATACTATTCAAACATGGGATATTACCTTATTTAAAGATGTCTTTGAATCATAGATTCCATTACGGAAACTAGTGGCGCGACAATATCACATACTTATTTTCATTGCTTCTAAATTTTGCAATTTTCGAAAATATAGAGAGATCAATGAAAATCAAACCTGAGCGAATATTTCTTTCTCAGCAACTCCTTACGCAGTACAGAGAAAGTATTGTAATGTTGGCAAACATGGCGACAGAAAATCTCTTATTCCCGGGCCGTCGTAACGAAAATCTGGATAAATCTTGTTCCTATACGTGTAGTAAATTACTTCCTAAAACATGTTACCGAAAAATTGGTTTAAGGCAAAACGTCTGTCATATGTGTGTCCGTTTGTCAGTGTGTGAACAACTTTCGTAGCAGTAATACCCCTACTATATGTAGCACGTAGGAGTTTCACCAAAATTGATATTTCCAGATCGATATGATTGAAATGTTGAATTTTTCAATTGAAACGGATAATTCGATTCTTTGGGGTAGTTTATATAATTCCTCAATATTTTCAAAACCTACTCAAAAATGGCTTTTTTTTTGCTCTGAGAGAGAAAATTCCCATAATGAAATAGGGTAGGTAGCATTTTCGCTGCACTGCCCAAATTTTGACAATTGTAAAAGTTAATAATTTGTTTGGTGTGTTCCTTCAGTTTCAATAATGAAGATATATATTTAAAGGAGCAACTGCGTACGCAGTATAGAGAAAGTATTGTAATGCTGCGGGGAAAAGGGGGAATTTTCGAAGAAGAATTCGTATTGCCGAGCCCTGTAATAAAAAAGTGGACACATTTTTCCCCCTAAAGATAGTAAAATACTTTATCATGGTTTTTAGTCAGGAACCATGTTTTGCCTGTCCTTAATACCGAAAAATCGATTGGCGGCACAACGTCCGACTGTCTGTCCGACCATCTGTGAACAACGCCAGAAGCTAATCATCAGCAGAATTTTCACCAAAATTGATATTTCCCAATCCATGCGGCTGATGTCGCGGCTCCTGGAATTTGAAACGATATTTTAATTTTGGGGAGAACTTTACATTAAGTCCTTGGGGCATTTTCCAAATTTAAAAAACAGGCACAAACATTTTTGAATTAAATTTTGTTGTTGGATAGTGTGAAGGACGCTTAAGAAAATGCCATAGTTTGCATTTTTGTTGAAATTCCTGTCTTTTAGAAAATTGCAAAAATTCAAAATTATTCCGGCGCCTTACTGAAGTTTTATTTATGAAAATATTTTTTTCTTTAATGAAATGTGTTGGCAAATTGAACGCCAAATAGTTTTAAATTTGGCGCATCGTTTCGATTAATGCAGTTTTGATGCTCTTTGAAAGCATTTCAGAGGAAAAGGTCATACATTTCAAACTTTGCGCGTTCCTAATTGAATAAAAAAAGCCGGGAAAATTCTTCCCAGCTGACCAGATACTTCTTTCGTACAAAGGTCCTTGACGTAGATTGTCAAGTGCTTCCTGTTAGTTCGGAGCGTCACCTAAAGATCGCATCTGCTCCTGGGCAGCTCGTCGTGCGAAAACATGTGGACTGATTGGACATTGTCAATATTCTTAAAATCCAGCGATGCGAGCGCTACGAGCTCGCATTGCAATCAGAGGCGAAGTGCAGAAAGCTTAGTAAAAACGTGTTGGACACATTTGGACGAGGTTCGATTCAGAGTGTGCCAGGCAACCTTTCTGCTGTCTAACACACAGTAAAAAACGACGAAGGTCGTAACGAAACATTTGATTTCGTCTGGACAGAGGTAAGCATGACAATCTCAATACTCGTTGATTCTTTCTCCATGTAACATTCATTGTCAATTGTGGGTCGTTTCTTTTCCAGAACACTCTTGTTTGATGAAAAATTATCGATGTTCCTCCCAGTTCCTGCTAATTATTCTCCCAACGTATCTAACGAATATTTCACAGCCTCAACAAAATGTGTTAATCAAAAACAGATTTTTAAATAAGGTGATGTTCATTTTTCGAAAATATGAGTATTTTTGGCGTAAATTTGCGATGAAAAGTAGGCAATTTGTAAATTTAAAAACAATTATTTTCTCAGAAACGACTCCATTTGTTTCTTTAAATATTTTCACGAATAAAGCAAATATGTCAAAGAAAGTGGTGGTCCAATTTTCGGCGACGAAAGTCCAATTCTCGGTACTTTCGAAAACCTCGGGGAAGAGGAAAACATCCACCCGGACCTGAGTTTCTCAGCCTTACGCACATCAATAGTAAGCCGGCGCCAGTTCTCGCCATCCAGTGAGCGAAGTTCACCTCCCGCGATAAGAATACATGGACTACATGTACAGAACTAATGACCTTAGCGGCTGACACGCCCGGAAACACCTAGCAGTCAATCGACATGCAGCAATCACGTCCCAAAACCATGAATTTAAGAGATCAAACAATGCCGGTTGGCGGTGATCGCGATATCACCGGCTCTTGAAGACACAGCAGTCCCACCGGTGGAACATGTGGAAAATCAGTACAAATATTACTGTTACAAATAGCACGCGCGTCAGTAGTGGATCTCTTAATTTTTGCTGATGCAGAGAAAGCGTTTCCAGTTTTAACCAAATTTATTTAATCACTTTAATTTTGCCCGTTTGTATTAAGTTTTTTATTTCATCTCAATCCGTGTTACTCTGCTTGCTCCTGTTTTATTTCTAGCAGTAGTGCAACCGTGGCGCTTGTTCGCCGCAAAAGTATACAATAATTTTTAGTCTGTTTTTTCGAAATAAATAAATAAATTCTAAAATGTACTTACGGGCTATTTCCTGAAATGCTGAGTTCCCAACAGTGTTCTTCATCTTCCTTCCCAGGGCAGTCAGGCTCTCCATCGCATACAAGCTCTGATGCGATGCACGTTCCAGAACTGAAAACAGAGTATACATACTTCAGTGGATGTTGATTCGCCTATAAATAGAAGAGTGAACACGTATCAATGTATTTGTGTATATACTCGTATGTATGTGATAAATAAGGGGTGGATTTTGATAACCTAAATAATTCCCAAAACTTATCAATAAAATACCCTGAAAACAGAGAAAAATGACGTAAAAATTTTATCAAAACCACTTCAGATGAACAACTCAAGCTGTTGGATACGTTACTGATGTAATCGAGGCTTCTTCCTTTTGTTCAAGTGAACTCTGCTTGCAAATTTTTTGTTTGGACTGTTCTTTAAAAGAATATCTCTGCCTTTATCGTGAAATCGGCCTAACTAACAATGGCGCCGATAGGCGTTACGGGAACTTTAGATTACATAATGTTCACAACGGCTGACACTAGAATATATGAACGAAGAAATCGAATATGCTTATCAGGAAACCTGTGGTGAACATTTGTTGCCCCTCGCAAATATTGTTTGAAGCAAGTACCATTAAAACGATATTAAAATCTATGAAATCAGCGAAAATGCATTAAAAATTGCGTAAAAAGGGGGGAAAAAGATCAAAATCGACTAAAAATGCAAACAAAATACGTATAAAAATGAGTCATTTCGTTTTCTCAAAACATAAAATGAATTTCTGTACTAAACGGCATTGTTCTAAAGTGAAAAGAAAAAAAATGACATTTCATTAAAATCCGCCCCCTAGTGATGAGTATCGAACTAATTTTTATGGCATTCCCACTACAACTTTTAAAGCGCGCTTATCCAGCCCAAACATATTCCCATCCCACTTGGTTCGCTACATCCCACACCAATCGCACCAAATTAACCCGCGTGGAAAACCACAACAACCGCCTCATCTTCCGCCCACCCATGTACACCATTTACAACTCCATACGTACGACATCAAAACAAAATACCCCATATCCTCACACACCTCCACAACTTCGCAATAGCCCAAATCAAAAAATACATCAACAATCCTCTATTCCGAAATCTAATCCTTCCTCACTATCACATCCTCTAACATAAAGAACTTAATTTAGTGTTTAATTTAATTTGATTCTAGATAAATTGATAATAAGAAGGGGGTCGTGAGCTTTACGTAGTTATTTAGGGGGGAGGTTTGAAACGCGCGTCACAGGGGTATTTAAAATACTCGAATTTGGTTTCATTATGGACGGCCTCTTATATTTAAAGGAATATTTTCAAAAATTTACTTTCTAAATGCAGCCACATTTAACGGATTATTTGAGACTAAAAAGCGACTCACCGTGTGCAGTGGAAGCTGTGGGCGCCGCACCCGCACCGCGCCTCGTCCGACTTGTCGAGGCAGTTGCGGCGGCCGTCGCACAGCAGGCGCGGCGCGCTCAGGCGCAGGAAGGCGGCGCACGAGCAGTCGCCGGGTTCGTCGCTGGCGTCGCCGCAGTCGTCGGCGCCGTCGCAGAACGCCGCCTTCTCCACGCAGCGCCCGTTGTCGCAGCGCATCTCGTCCGCCGCGCACGCTGCGCACACGGGGCGGTTAGGAAAGGACCGTTAAACTCCGATTTAAACAGAAGGGCACTTCAAGGTCACGAGGAGAGGAGGGCAATGTCATCCAATCGGGAGCTCCAATATCAAACATTCAAGTCGTAACGAAAATTTTAAATCGTCGTTCCTTTTAAGTCCCCTATCCATGCAGCTCGAGACCTTGAACTGCCAGCATGTTTAAATCAGAGAACACTTGTCTTCTAGGAGTTTTTCCAGCTTACAGCCGGTTACCCTTTACCTCCCAATGAGGCGCTTATTCAACCTATACTAGAAATCTTCACATTTTGCGGGCTCCTCTGGCATTTGGTCAGCAGAAAGCTAGGTCCTCCGCGACAACACATACATGAGAGACACGAAACAAACAATCATGCCAAGGCATGACAAGAACCCGCGATCCTTCGGACCGAAGCCCTGAGTCGGTACACGCTCGTAGCCAGGTCAGCGGAGGTCACGAGCTGAAAAGAGAGTGGGACACTGTCATTGATTCGGGAGCTTCAATACCAAAAAATTAAGTTGTAACGAAGCTCGCGATTGAAGGGCAGTGTTATTCTGTCACCTCGTGACCTTGAAGATACTTACTGTGTTAATCGAAGTATAATATGGCCGGAGACACACGAGTGCATGCATCCGTCGCAGTCTGCACGAATGCGTCCGTCGCAGAGTTAACAGATACGAATGGGAAAATGCGCACGAGTACGCTGCGCGACGTCCGTTGGGCTCTGGTGTATGCAGGGAGTATTGACGTGCGTGAAAATGCGGACGCTGTGTCGTCCGTTACGCGGTAATCATGGGCCCGCAGTCTCCGTAACTGGTAACGTGCGGTCTTCGAGTCCGGCGAAGGAAGTAAACGCATATTATCGCTCTTTTGATGCACGTCTGAGGAAGTTTTTGTTTATAGCATTCTTAGCTCTTTCTAACTAATACTCATACATAGAACTGCGAATCCAGTTACTTCTGTTTACCTTTGAGGGCCAGTTGAAGTTTTGGAACGGTTTCACAGACCGCACATCAACAGCTTTACGAGCAATACAACTTTTCGTGCCACAGCGGATATGTGTGAACTTGGTGCACGATCTCGGAATGTATATCCCAAGGGTCCTACTTTCGATGATACAGTTAATAAATTATGGAAATCGCTAGTTTTTGCATGTGATGTCGACGGTGATTTTTCAATTGAACACGATACGAATGCCGAAGAGGAAGTGCAGAAAGAACGAGATGATGAAATAAAAAAAAGAAGTACAAATATTTAAAAAAATAGCAGTAAAGGAGGAACATTTAAAAAAAGACTGAAATGAATTCCATAACAGTTTCGACAAGACATAGTTGTACCCAACCATTACAGACACTAAGAGTCTACAATAAAATGATGCATTGCACATTTTTACTTTCTCGTTCCCGATAACGCAGTAGAAAGTTACGTATAATTTTATATTGCAGCGCGAAAAAACGACAAATTTCCGGCAGAAAATGTCTTATTACAAGGATACTTGGCTGTCCGGAGTGTGGCTTTCCGGAGTGGATCGATTTTTCGGATCAAAGATCTACAAATCATGGATTCTAGCTACAACACGGGTTGGAGGATTTTGTTTTTGTGGCCTCTTCAGAGCTATGCTGCTAAGCAGACGATGGCCGAACGTCAGCTCGATCGACTGAGATGCGGCCCCAACCCGGACAGCCATGAATCCAATAGAGTCAGCCGTGGAAGCCTACGAATACATCTCTTTACAAGGATCTGGTAACGAGTGTGGAGCAATCCCGTTGCTAAATTTAGAAACAAAATCCTCAAACACGTGTTGTAGCTAGAATCCATGATTTGTAGACCTTTGATACGAAAAATCGAATGACGGCATAACGTCTGTCCGTCTGTGAACAACTCTAGCGGCTAAACCGTTCAGCCAATTTTCTCAACAATTAATATATTCCCCAATCGATCTGGCTGATGTTGCTGGCCTTTGGATTTATAACCGATATTTTAAATTTGGAGGGTACTTTACATGAAACCTTTGGGACATTTTCAAAATAAAAAAAATGTGTGCATCGTTTTTTATTAAATTTTGTTGTTGGATAGTGTGAAACACGTTTAAGACAATGGGGGAGGTTTCATTTTCGTTAAAATGCCAAATTTTTCGAAAATTGCAAAATTTCAATTTCTTTTCGGCTTCTTCCTGCAACTATAATTTGAAGATAGTTTTTTTCCCGAGTAAAAATATGTTTCGTACAGACAGATTTTGAAATAAGTTCATGTACAATTTTTCGAAAAGTTGAGTATTTTTCGTGTAATTGTGCGTGAAAGTACTGGCAAGAAAGTGGGTGCTGTTTTAGCAACACTAGTTTGTTATTGGATAATTTTCGTGTAACAATGTATTATCGCATGTAAATGACGGTTTTCAATACAGTGAAGAACATTTCAAATCCATTTTACACGTTTTTAGATCATGAATCGTGTAGAAAACGTATGCACAAATAATCAGAATTTAATTGAGCGAGAAATAAATAACTACATTATTTTGTTGGCTGTTTCGAATTTTTATTCGTCCATAGTAAATGGCTCGTGTAAAACACAGTTCAAGACCAGACTTTACGCAGTTAGATTCGAGTTGAGTTCTGACAAAGGAGTTTAAGCAGGGCTTAGCGTGCAACTATCGACAGTAATATCGACCTTCCGCGCATGTATAGATGCTGAACAGTGGTATAGTGTGGTCCATATATTGCTGTCAATTGCTGTATGCTAGACCGTGCTTACGCTCCCTAATTTGAACTTTAAGCCCAGCGAAGCATAATGCAATCGTCAGCAATATCGATCTGCAAATGTGCTGTTTGAGCTGCTCACCACCTTGGAGCATTTGCGCATGCCAGATCGAAATTTAATTGCAGCACGACACTCCGTGCTTAAAGTTCCTAGCCTAGCCTAAAGTTTTTACCGGGAAATTTTCAGGAATATTAAGGTCGTACTTTGTGTTGGAATATTTTCACGTCTTTGTCAGTGATTCAACAGACACTATCTTCTGACGTCATGAGCATCGCGTGGAGATTTCTATCGAGAAATTCATTCTGTATAGCGATAATCATTTTTGAGAATACAGACGTCTCCAGGAATGTGAAAGCAGATTTATTAACGATTGTATCTTTATAACGACTAATTTCTGGGTTCAGGAAATTTCCGAACTTCTTTCTGGGTTGAAAATTACTAAGGCTATTAATATATCGCTGGAAATCGAAAATATTACTTTTCTTTAAACAATACGTTATGAAGAATTTGAACAAATCTTCCATTTTTTTAAAGAAGACGATACATAATTTGCATATTGTAGTGATTTTATAAACAATAGTTTTTAGTGTGTAGTTAATATTTATATCGTTCACAATTAATATATTAAATGACTTTTGTTATAGGAAATCAGTAAACGATATAATTTTGAATTATGTTTCACTGGCGTTTGGGAAAGCTGAAGTTCTATGAGCCCCCTACCTCTGCTAATTTCCAACGCGCGCAGAAAATGAAAACTGTGCAGCATCCGGCCATGCGAGAGGTATCTACAAGCCCATGGCGCCCGCAAAAGGCCTAGAGAAAAACGTTTCTTACCTTTTTATTAGCCAAAATGTATTTAAATATTTATTTAAATTTTATATATTTGTTACAGTTATGTAATTATTTACAACATAATATTGTACAGTATCATATATATATATATATATATATATATATATATATATATATATATATATATATATATTACAAACGTATACAATTGAGTAGCAAATATGTTTATTATTCAACAAAAATATATGATGTCCTCCTCAAAAAAAATTATATGCTGAATCTGCCCCTGGATTCGTTAGATACCCAGGAATTACAAAAAATTAAAACAATGAAATAGTTTTGATTTTGATTCCGATATATTTGATAGAGTAATTGCAGCTATTAACATACTGCTCATACAGACTGCGACACTGCTTATAGAGTGATTTTTATAAGAATGGACGGTTTTGACAACTACTGATGGCAACATAACTGAAGGCTCTGTGGTTCTGTAGCCCATTTGACTCTCCATCCTTAATTCGTTCGTTTGCAGTTCGTAAATGGCTTCGAAAGGAATTTTGTGATTGTTTTTAATTTCGTACGACGAAAATATATTTCCCCACGCGAAATAATTTAAATTCGGGAGTACACTGCTATTGTTCTCTTCTGTAAAATTTGTGCTGTAAGGTGGCTAGCTGTGGCCGAGAACGTTTCGTGTTTTGCGGTTTATCAATTCATTTTTTATATAAATAAACGGCAATGAACCATGACAAGCCATGATGTCTTAACGGGAGCCATACACAAACACTCTACGAAGAGGCATGGCTTAACAGCTAATATGGCGGAGGACTTCTCTGAATTACATGTGATATTCATTTGTATCAATCCCCATCGAACGAAGAAAATGCCGCCTGCCATGTAATTTACTTTCACTTGTTGCGTTATGGATCAGCAACATTTTATTATTTTTTTAAAAGTATTATTGGTATGTAAAGCAGTTCTGTTTTCTGAATCCATATTTACCATTCTACATTATTGCAGTATTCGTGAAAACTATTTTTGTTTAAATACCTAATTTATTCACACAATCCAAATAAGACCTTTCGATTAAAAATACTATTTTCTAATGTATTCATATACGATAAACTACCAAGAAGAAAACTATTAAAGTACATCAAAATGTCAACAATTGTTCCCTTATACTCGTAGTAGCGTGACGTTGTACACTCATATTTATGATAAACCAGCTGAAGTAACCTTTGTTAGACGAGATGTAACAACTAGAAACATCAACAGTTGACATTTCTGGAACACTTACGTCACCTTTCTTGCCAAAGTTCTAAATCCTGCTCTCAACTTCATGCTTGTGTAAATGTCCCCGGAAAAGTCGGTCCCCGGTCAAGTCAAGTTTCAAAAGCAGAGTATTTCTTATAACCACATAACGTAACGTAAACATTGCAAGTTTCAGCTCTTCATCTCTCGTGTTCTTGTCTTTAGAGCGCTTTCGTAGCATACACGAATTATACTATACCGAAGAGGCGATCTAACTGAACAAGGAGATTACACTGATCTTATGAAACAGTTCCTACATTTTGTATACAACTTACTGTATAGCAAATGCAAAATTATTTAGCACAAAATTCGATTATCACACAATGAATGTCCTCTATGCTTGGGGCTGCCAGATTTATTGAGAGTGTATACATTTTATGAATAGTTAAATAATTAGAAGAAACATTTTGGACTATTTTTAAAACTATGAGGCTTAGAAAGAGGAAACTGCATAACCTGTCGAAATGAACTAATAATTTAACGAAAGTTTGCAAATTTTAACAATATTTACATTCACCTCTTTATACTAATAATAAAATGAGAATATGGTTACGTCGTCACACGGTATCGCCAGTGCCGTAGCCTCAGCACCAGTGAATCAAAAGCGTCGGTATTCGCACGATGTTGCCACCTCAAAAGAACAAATGAATCGCATGGCTCCAATACCGCTGTCAATCAGTTGCGCTTCTTTACAAGTGTGGAGAGTGAGGTTACTTGCGTTAAAATTTGTGGATTGAGTGCAAATTGTGAAGAGTGTGTGATGTTAGTTCCGTTGTTAATATCAATTGCAAATCGTCTCATGATTGCAGTATTGTAAAGTGTTAGAGGGTGTAGTATGCGGCAAAGCCGACCCCTCCACAGCATTTTTATTCATTTAACGTAAAAACAGTTAAAAACCATTTAATATGTGTGATGTGCCAGGGGGAGAACCAAAAACTGTACGTTTTCTTGTGTTCTGAGAACTCTAAATTAACTCATATCTTACATTAAGTTGAATTATGAATACAGGCAGGAATGATTGTTTTCATTAGAATTGATAAGAAAATACTCACTACTGCAGGCCCAGATCCACGAAGGGAGATCCATGAGGTAACCCTTTCCAAAAAAAAATGTTTCAGTAATTATTAATTTTAAATCGTCACGAAACTTTCAAGCAAAATTATTTTCGGATATATATTAAAACTAATAAAATCGTATCGCAGGATAAGCTGAGTTTAGCCTGCGTCATAGTAAGTAATCTGTAATATGACAATTTCGCCCAAAATATTTCGAATTTCTTCCCTTAAAGTTCGTCTCTGGATCCGCCCTTGAATGCTGTGGAATAAAAATTATTTGCAAAGGTAAATAAGCGGCAGATTTGGGCTAATATCCCTTATCGTGCCCTACTGAAAAATCGGTTTCGTGGCGTGAGAACACGGAAAACAATTAAGTAAATATATTCCATTCTGAGCTGAACAAAGTGTGCGCACAGCAAAGCTACATTTAAGGCTAGAAGCAAAAGAAGGCGCCATCTGAGCATTTGCTCAGGGAAACTGGACCGAAAACGTGTTTGAGACGGTCTGTCAACCACATTCTTATTGTATTCGGACCTTACAACTAATATTTTCAACGAAAATCTAATTTGTTGTCAAAAGTTTGTTCCATTGACAATTAATATTTTATTTCATTTTTTGTGCTTTCTGGTACTGGTACTTTCTATGAGGGAGTAGGTGTATGTACAAATTCTACGCTTGCAGCATCCATGCATTCAACCTTAAATATTCATAGTTGCCTGTTGGCATGCAACTGCGAGAAATAAACTTACAAAAGTAAGTTTAAAAAGCACGTAGCTTTCCTAAGAATTCTGCAAAAGATATTGGAACAACACATGGAAAGGGAAATGCCGCAAGACCAAGCAGGATTCAGGAAAGCAGAGGTATACGAGATCAGGCAAACTTTCACCGGATTATGGAAAAGACAAATGAGCACAGTAAGGAGATATATCGATGTATCATAGACTACCAAATGTCTTGAGACAGATGGGACTACCTTAGTCTGAAGATCTGATAGAGATGAGTAAGGACTTTTTACACAGGTCAAGAAGGTAAGGTACAAACGAACAAGGTCCGACGGAGTGGTTTTCCAATACAGTAGTATGACAAATTCGTAATACGAGAAGCGGTACGAGATGAATTACACGCGTTAATAGGGATTGGAGGTAGAGAATTAAATAATTTCAGGTACGGTGATGATACGACACTTTTAGATGTAAACAAAATTAACATGAGTGTAATAATAAAATTGGTGAAGAAGGAAAGTGAAAAAGCAGGTCTTAAATTAAACGTAAAGAAAACAAGGGGAACAAGAGAACATGAAAATAGATAACCAAATTTGTAAGGTGGATAGTTACAATTTTCTGGGGTTACCGTTATTACCAATATTACTAATGAACGATCCGTATTACCAATGACGGATCAAATAAGAAGGAAATAGAAAGAAGGATAATTGTTGACAAAATAACAATGGGAAACCTAAAGAAGGTAATGAAAAGCTCAGGAATATCCATGAACACAATAATCCGAATGATGCAGGCGATGGTATTCGATGTGGTGCTCTATGGATGCGAAAGTTTGTCACTGAATAAACGTGACAAAAAAATATTAGACAGCTTTGGGCACGGAGGAGAATGTTAAGGGTGTCCTGGGCAAAAATAACTAATTTATCGATAACCAATCAGGTAAAACCTAGTCAGTTCTTAGAGGCAATAGCCAAGAAAATTTAAATTGAAGTACTTCAGAGATATTATGGGAAGGAATGGTTCACTGGAAAAGGACTTGATGTTGAGACAAACAGATGGGGGAAAAGGAAAGAAGCAGGACAGAGAACACGATGGATCAAAGAAATAATGGCAACACTGGGACCGAGTTGCACAGATATTATACGCAACACTCTGGAGAGAAACACGTGGAGAGATGCAGAGAACCATGTGATAGGGAACAGAAAGAGAAAAGCACAAAAATAAGGGATAATAAGACCCTGATATTCTTGCTATGAAAGTCATGTGGATCTCCAGGTGTCGAGTGCGAACTGAAGCAATAATCATAATGAAAATAGGGGAAGTCTCGCTAAAGCAAATGAGAATAATGGACCAAATGAGCGCTCTCATTTCCTCTCCCGCCAAGCGTCGAGTGCCGTTGTTCAACTGTCTGCGCTTCGCCGAGATTCATCGCGAAGTCGTTTCGGTACACCAGGAGGACTTTATGCCATGGCATTTCAGTTTTATTACCTGAAACACACTTTCAAAACGAACACTGCAAGATGCTGCCGAAGTGAGTCTGGCTCCTTCATGACAATGCTCGTCTGCCCTGCGCTCGGGCAATGCAGGAGTTGTTGCCGTCATTTGGTTGTAATGTTTAAAAGCACAACTCTCACAGTTCCTATCTCGCACCTAACGACTATCATTTGTTTTCTAAAGGAACATCTGAGTTGAAAATTCTCTCCTGATGGCGGCAAGATGAGAATCGAAGTGCGGAAGTAACTTAGGGAAAATGGCGGCACTCCTTTAGGCCGAAGGATTGTCAAACGCCTTCCCATGGTTCACAACGGATATTGACGAGTAAGTGGTCAACATCATCATCATCGTATATTATTTTTAAAAAGTGTTATGTGAACATCCCATTTCCGGAACCACACAATCAATCTTTGTATATAAGGTGATTTTTGAAAGCTGGAAGTCCCCGATGTCTGCACGAGTCGTTTACATTTTTGTGTATGTAATATAAATATGAATAAAATGAAAAAAACAAAATTTCGACCTGTCAACGTTACACACAACCTGGCGATAAGACGGGCAGGATAGGAGTCAAGCAAGGAAGCATAGAGACGATGACGGTGGCAAGGAGCAGGGTGGATTTGTGAGGTAGGGAAGGCCAGGGCAGAAAATGGCGATGCAGAGCAGCCCCCAGATCAGGCTAGGGGGGGGGGAGGGATAAAGTATAGCCAGAATGCATTCCCTTCCCTAATTCCCATTCATCAATAAATGAATATGGTAAATAAAACCCGGGCAAGTAAAAGTATTCGGGTTTTAAACTTCCCCTGCAATTTAATCGCACGGCTTTCTTCTAGTGTTAAAAAAATTGTTTAATACATATAGTGTTTCCCTATAAATATCATTTAAATACACGAAATTTTATATGTGTAAACAATTTTGCAACCTTTCTTCCCGAATACCCTTCGCGAATGTCTGAGTAAGATCGAGGGGGTACTCACCGCAGGCGAAGGGGTCGACGGCGCGTGCGCAGCGCTGCTGCCATTCGGCGCAGAAGAGCGGCTGCTCGTCGCTGGCGTCGCGGCAGTGGGGCACGCCGTCGCACACCTCGCCCGCCTCCAGGCAGCGGCCCAGCGGGCAGCGCAGCGTCGCGCACTCCGCCGGCGGCGCCAGCGGCACGGGCGCCTCCTCTGCGCACGCGCACCAACGCAACTCTCAAGGCCCGTTCGCAATGCAAACGAAAGCATGACGCAGAGACGTAAACATTAACAGAAGTGATAGGCTGAAGTATTCGCAATGTAATAACGTAATTAATAGTAACGTAAGTAAATTAGAGTTTCTATTGGCTGTCAGACATTCTAGTTTACTATTGGTTGGATAAGAGAATCTATTTCGAGGTATCGACTGTGTCCATGACAAATGGCGTTAGTTTGTCTATCGACTTTAATCATATTTCGATACTCGATTTTGAGTTAACGTGATATTATGTATGATTGGTTCATTCCTTATGTCATACTTAAGCATAAGCACAGAAGCTTCAAGATTGCAATCTTTTAAGTGAAGGTCTTCCTCCCATTAGCCTTCGCCTAAATATGAATGTTTTTGGAAACTATAATTTTCCAACCTCGTCCAAAAACTTTTCGGTTTTAACACATAAAACACTATTTAAACCTGTCTCACTTACTATCAATAATAACATTCACAGGATATAATGAATCCGCCATTGCCTATTATCAAAACTCTTGCAGTCCGCTGGCACCCAACATTCACCACGCTGGATACTCTTAGCGATATTTATATTTGGATAATTCAAGCATGAGTTCTACCTTCTCGTCTATCCGAGCCTGCCATGTAAAAATCCGTTTTGCCACGTACACATACCGAGGTAAGCGACAATCTGAACAGGCTAATAACGGCGATGCGGCGCACGAGTCACGGCCGCAGGGCCAGCAGGGGCGGCGATTTCCGCGCTTCGACAGGAAGAACGGTCATGAAAGGTCTCAATACTAATTGCCGCCAAGCCACTACTTGCAATGCTTTACAGCACTTAAAAATTATACGTACGAGTTTTGAAAGGTGCTTAACATGGCATGGTAAAATTTCATGCCAATCCGGGTATCCAGCAAGGTGAGTGTTGCGTGTGAAAACGGCAGTGAAATGGACCCAACGGTTGAGACGATTCTTAAGTGATTTAAATCCATATCGATGTATGAAAAATTTATAGTGAACAAAACGAGTTCTGGAACCCATTTCCCCTGCCTCTCATACACCCATTGCTTCATCATCATTCCTTTCATCTCCATTATCATTTAATTACTACCTTATTACCAATTACATTAAGTATCTTTCACCATATTAGGTTAGGCTGCACATGATCATTAGACACACCCACCACAGGGTAAAATGTCAACAGATTCCTGATAGAGAATTCCAGGGACATCTTGTAACTTTTAACAATTCATTGAGGAATTTATTTTTTGGAAATAACATCACGCATACACACTAATACGAATAGCAGCGGGCTTCTTACTTCTGTTGATCACGATACAATAAAAAGCACTTTTAAAAGCAAGAAAATTAAATCACCAACGCGTGCAATGTGTACATATTGTGAATAGAATTTGTGTGATGCTTAAATTTCAAAGAACATCAAAGTTTCAAAGACCCACGTACAAGAGATTACGATGAAATACAGTGGCCTCTTTTAATTTGAAAGTCAGAGGAACACAAAATAACTTGAATTACCTCACATTCGAATTTCCCTGCTCACAAAGTTCTAAGAAAAGTAACTTAAACTTATTACACATAGAGACAGTTAGAAGGCGGGGTCTCCTAATTTACCTAATTTACAATATACTAAATCTCCAGTTTATAAGAAAATGAATTTCTTTTCCTTATCGTTAACATGAAAAAGTATTAAAATGAGTAAACCGGGTCTCCCACAAAAACAGTTTTCAATCACTTTGGCCTTGAATATTCAAGCCAAATCTCCTCTCGCGGAGCTCCTTTGGAGCGGTAAGGCTCGTACGCACCCATGGCCTTCTGCAGGGCGTCGGCGAGCGGCGCGACGGCGGGGAAGGCCAGCACGGAGGCCGGCGGCGCGTCGCAGAAGCCGTCAGGCGAGGAGAAGACGGCGGCGGGCGCCCAGCCCTGCGCCGACCGGCACGCCACCACGCCGCTCCACGCGCGCCCGCCCGTCGCCTGCGCACCGCACACACACACACACATTATGAATGCGTCAACGGAGTATCGAATATGAGAGCCGAGTATCGAGTATTCTAGAAAATTTGGCGATCTGCTTGCCTAGTGGAGCCTGTGTGCGTTTATACTGCGGTGTTTTTTTGTGCTAACAAATTTGACATGATTTATTAGGTCCTTCAATATTATTTAACGAGGAGATCCAAACTAAAATGACTTAAAATATTTTTTGATTTCAGCCCTGCAAACGAGTGATCTTAAGAGGTAGTGTGAGGTTTTTATAATTATCTTCTGCTGCGTTTTCCTCTTAAGTTCAGTTCCTAGCAGCAGTTATCCTCTTAAATTCAAATTCCAGTAACAATAAAATAAACTCCGATAGACTTGCGGGCTGCTTGATCTGAACTCAGCAAAATGTACGAAATCCTACGACTAAACTATCATGAAAAACGAGAGGTACACTTCCACGCCCAGAGTGGGACTGAACAGGACTTCCGCGACCCTGCGGACTCATCATTCGGTCGTAAAGTTGTGAGAGACAAATAATGTAACCAGCCATTGTTAGGGTGAATTACACTGCAGATGTGTCAGATAAAGTTTATTGCCGCCAAAATATGATGAAAACATTTGTTAGCAATTAACAGAAAACAAATAATAATTAATGACTTGGGAACCAACTTTCATTGTTTCGAATAGGTGATGAGGTAGAGAGTTTTCCCTAGTCACGAGTTGTTAAAATATAATTTAGATAATGAGATGATAAGTGCCTCAGACACAACTTGCCTTATTCTTCCGCTTGCCGTTACTTCCAAATTTGGAAGCCTTTTTTAAACTCGATATTTTTAATTTGAGTTTTGGCACCATAATAAAGGAACAGCACGTGCTCAGATCTCAATGGAGCCCATAATATGAAATGCGCCTGACGACGAACGTAGCTGAGCAGAGCTTACCTGGCAGGCGGCGTGCGCGTCGGCCCTGACGAAGCACTTGTGCGTGGGAGGGCAGGCGGTGGCGGCGGCGGCGGCGGTCTGTCGGTCCGCGGGCACCAGCAGCACCGCCCTCGCGTGGCCCTGCGCGTCGCGCCCCGGCGCCACGCACACGCCGCCCTCCCCGGCCGCGGCCTCCGCCTCGGCCGCCTCCAGCAGGTGCGGCCTGCGCAAGCAACGCGTCAACCGATGACCTCTTTCTACACAATTAGCAGGCTGCACTGACCATCGAAAAGAAAACAAATACAAAATTGATTTTCACAATGACATAATGCGTTGTTAATAATATACTATAAAATTTAAAAAAATACTATATTTGCCTGTAACAGGTAATGCACTTCAGCTTCTGGGACAATGACCCATCTCTATCAGGTATTGCGTCTAGTTTCCCTAATCCATTGAGAAAATGCTCTAGATTCACATCCATGGACGTACTGTAATTCTGATGAATGGATTTTCCAGTAAATTTTGCTTTTGCCTTCTTATAATTTCTTGAAATATTACAACTCTCTTTAATCATTAAAAAAAGCTTCCAATCCCCCAATTATGGTGGAAACAGGATGGGAGATTCCAATTGATACTATATTGAATATTGAACTTATTAGTTCGTGTTTCCGGACGCGCTAACGGCTATGGTCATTAGTGCCGAAAGCTTAGTCCATGTTTCAACACAGGAGGAGGGTAGTATTATTTCCCCACTGTAGAGATACTGCGTTGAACTACACGTCGACTTGCAAGGGTTGTCCCAATCAGGTATCTCGCATCAGCGGAGTTCTGCCCCAGCCAGGACAAGCGCGAAGATCCCGCGAGAAAGAGAGAGAGAGAAAGAGAAATAGAGAGAGAGAGAGAAAGAGAAAAAGAGAAAGAGAAAAAGAGAGAGACAGAGAGAGACAGAGAAAGAGAGAAAAAGAGAGAGAAAGAGAGAGACGGAGAGAGACAGAGAGTGACAGAGAGAGACAGAGAGAGACAGAGAGGGACAGAGAGAGACAGAGAGAGAAAGAGAGAGACAGAGAGAGAGAGAGAGAGAAAGCGGAGATCTCCCCCCGCTGGATGATGACACCCGGCGCCGATCTACAGCGGCTAGCGTGGTTTTCCCCAACCAGGCATCTCCCGCCAGCGAATCAGTGCTAGAGTGTGTAAGAGGTGATGATAGGGTACGGAGGAAGTCATCGCGCGCGGTCCATGTCCCGCTTCTTAGGGTGTTGATCGGATAAACTAGAGAATACTACCGACCAGAGCAACCGGCCGATAAAATTCTTCTCTAGTTAACGGCTGAATTCGACCCAACAGTTAAGCGAGTATCGAAAACCACATTGGTTTATTTGTTTTATTTCAAATTACAAAGAAAATACACTATCTCGGTCTGTAAGAAAGACTCGTCTGAAATATATTGCCCTTCGACCGATATAAAGATAAATTAGACGTGCAATATTTCCTGTAGCAGCCCTTGCAACTGTCGCTTTTGGGGAAGGTGGCGCTCGCGATCTTCACGCAAAAGTGCCGCCCCTAAAAGCGACCGCCCCCAAAAGCGACAGTTGCAAAGGCTACAACAGGAAATTTTGCTCATTTAATTTAAAATCACATGTCAGAAAGTATACTTTATACTCACAATAACTCACATTAATATTCGGACAGCCACAAATACTGAAGGCATTTCTTGTTTGATTGTTAATTTTTCGCACGTACGCGGAAGTTACATGTGAGGAAATGCAAATAAACTGTGTCTTTATTATTAGGAAACAGAATAATACAAAGAAAATGTTTCTGATGCACTACATACGATTCAAAAACACGGTTTTACATGTGAATATGCAAAAATACGGAGTCACATTAATATTCAGACATGTAGTGGAAAATGTCCTGTTTCCCCCTCGCCACTCTCCCAGATAGAGCGATAGGCGCATCATCCTCTACCTAGGACAAACGAAACTATGCAGTCAGTCGCTGTAAATATTTCCACCTGTAAATACCTCTTGCATTGGGCGCAAGTGAAAGAACTCGACGTTCGAGCAGAGGCAGGTTGTGGTTTGGCACCACCCAGAGGGACGCAGGGAGATCGCAAATTTTTTACTCATGTGCAAGAGCACTGTGCACGATATCATTAAGAAATTAGAGAAAGAAGAGACAATTGAATCTAAACCGCAACACGGAGAACGTAAGAAGAACCGAGAAAGAGAGCAGCGGGCAAAGTTTGAGAAAAGTACGAGAAAATCCGAAGGTGAGTGCCGTCCAGCTGGCAGCGGAACTGCGTGAAGTGTCAGGGACATCCGTGCACCCCGAAACAGTGCGCCGAGTAACTAGGATTGCTAGATATCACGGCAGAGCGGCCAGGAAGAAACCCTTTATCGGTGCTGGGAATAGAGGTAAACGACTTCAGTTTGCAAAGGAATATGTTACGAAATCAGACGAGTGGTGGAGTGAAGTAATCTTTGTAGAGGAGAAAAATATTAATATTTTTGGCAGTGACGGTAGGAAAATGATATGGCGTAAACCAAATACAGAATTCTATCCTAAAAACGTAGTGTCAACTTTGAAACTCGGAGGTGGATACAAATGGTGTGGAGTTGCATATCAGCTGCTGGCGTGAGAGAGTTGATGTTTATTAAAGACACAATGAACAAACATCAGTATCTCAGCATACTGAAAGAGAATTTACACGAATCTGCTGACACATTGGGCATCAGGAGTTCGTTTAAATTTTATCAAGATAACGACCCGAAACACAAATCATATTTAGAGATGGAATGGTTATTGGCCAGTTGTTTAATAGAGCAGGAAACGCGGCCTCAGTCTCCTGACCTCAATGAAAACGAGAATTTGTGGCATGAATTGGAATGCACAGTCAGGAGAATCCCAATTACGTCAAAGTCCCATCTGCAAGGGAGAATCAAGAAAAAATAGGCACAAATTGAAAAACGGTGCCGGAAGAGGATTATTGGTTCAATGCCAAAGTGATTGCAGTAAGTCATTGACAACAATGGTTATACTACAAAGTATTAATTTTCTTTCCGTTTATTTATTTATTAAGTTATATAATGTTTCATTTCACGTGTCCGAATATTACTGGGGCTAATGAATCCAGAATATTTTATTTTGTTTTCTTTTTTATTGAATGCGTCAACTACATTCGGCATTATTGTTTTGTTTACACTGTTATCCGCTAATAAAGGAACAATTGTGTTTCACTTTCTTGCTTACATCTCTTTCCTACAACAGTCAAAATATCGCAGAGCCACTGTAGGATACACCATTGTATTATCTTTTTATTATCTATCTAATGCTAGTGAGAAAAATACACGGTTCCGTTTAAAAAATTAAAGATTATTAAATTTCTTGAAAACTAAAAATATTTCAAACAATATTTCCACGGCATATTAGATATCTTTTGATTCCGCATTGTTGAGCTAAATCTGCATTTGGTAACCGTTTAGACGTTATGTGGGTGGTCCACAGTTGGTAGGATTCTCTGAATAACTACAAAATATTACGTTATATTTTTCAGTAAATTTATTACCATTCCCTGCATTGTCCAAATATTAAAGCAGCTGTAAAATTACTCAAAAACTTAAAAAAGTAAGATTTGTACTAATTTGTATTTATAACTTTGATTAGAATTATGTATACAGGCGGGACCACCTAGGTTGGCCACAGCACATTTTTTGAAAGCGGTTTGAGGTATCGAAATGCTACTTGCGACATATTGTTGCAGATGATGGGACAAATAACATATTTCGTTTCCTTGTTAGTACCGTATGTAATTTTACACTTTTTTCGCGTATAGGCCAAATCGGACTACGCGTGCATCTGCTTTAGCAGGTACAAGTACCTTTTTTTGGGGGGGGGGTCAGCATTTTAGCAGAATCCCAATTTTTATCCTCACGTTCGTTAGCCTAGGGGTATGGACGATGAGATAGATTATCATAATGATGGCGTGGGATCGAAGGAAGGCACACACATATAGACATACACAAATACACGCATATCCGCGGCGGGACTCGAACGCGTGGTCTTCTGGTTCGAGATCGCAACGGCACCTCTGCCCTAACAATCTCGGCCATCTGGCCAGCTAATTTTAGAGTTATTGACACAACTTTGGTTTTTTTAAATTTAATATTTTTTTCTCCAGAATTCTAAAGTTGTTTAAAAACCAAATGCAATGATATAAATATTGTTCGAAAAGTATTTTTTGCAAAAACAGTGCAATGAGAACTTGGTAAACGCCATGTTGCAGAGTGCAAGGACATTGACTTCGCGTACGTGAGTTGACGCATGTTGTCGGAAAACGAGAAATTTCGCCGATTACGGGACTTCCTCTACCTGTAATGCTGATGACCTTGGTTTTGAACTTTCTCAAATACTAGTACCGTATGTAATTTTATGTAATGTAATTTTAAAGATATTGTCATAACTTTGTCATTTAAAATGGAAGTATATATTTTTTTCTCTTGCATTCCAATGTTCTTTAAAAATTAAATGGAATGATATAATGTTTTTAACAACTTTCAGACAAGTTCTACATGCGCAAGGAAGTAGGGGTGTTCAAAATCACATTGATTTCAGCGGAGATGTGTATCTACGTAAACACCTTTGTTAACTTTTAATTTGAAGAGCCATTGGTATTCCAGGGAAAAAGAAAAAACACTTAGGAAAAGTCACAGTATATTTATTTCCTTTTACTTAAATTTAATAAAGGTGTTTACGTAAATACACATGTCCGCTGAGATCAATGTGATTTCGAACACCTCTCCTTCCTTGCGCATGTAGAACTTGTCTGAAAGTTGTTGACAATATTTAACCATTCCATTGAAAAAGACAAAGTTGTGTCAATATTTTTAAAATTACATTACATAAAATTACATACGGTACTAACAAGAAAACGAAATATGTTATTTGGCTCATCGTCTACAACAACATAACGCAAATAGCATCTCGATACCTCAAACTGTTTTCAAGATATTTGCTGTGACCAACTTAGGTGGTCCACTCTATATTTAATTTCATTTAGTTTAGTAATAATAAATTAATATTTATATTTACTGATGATTGTACTGATACTGTTCTACTGATGATTTTCCTTCAATCATAGATAAATCGTAAAAGGTGATAAAAGTCTTGTTTGATGGATATTAATATGACTGGAAGTAAGTTATATTTGGACTAGAAAGT